TTTATTTATATCCATAACAACAAATTAATCAGTCTGTATAAAATAATGTAAAAATATTTTTATTATACTAAATTATATTATTCATTATTTTATTTGTAGTTAATAATTAAAATGTTTGAATACATATTAACCGCATATGGATTAAGCCGTAAACACAAACTATTATCAAACATACTGACCGGGATCATTTTCACCACGTTCGTGTGTTATATATTTGCCCTTGTTGTGACTATAAACACCAATGACACCCTGGTCGTATTGCTCGTTAAAATGGCAATTTTTATTGAAGACATTAATATATTGATATCGTATGTGAATATTCGCCGTAATTCTCAACGTATTTATGAATTAAACACTGAATTAAATGATTATTACTCTAAATACGAGTTACCCATCAGTAATAAGTCAGCAATTATATACTTGGTCATTCACTTGTCTTTGTATTTATTAATGTTATTTTGTGTGTTCACTGATGAGTTTATTAATCACTTTTTTGAGTTTTCATTTTTCTATATACTATTTCGGCACCATGCTGCAATATCATTATTTTACATAATAGGCTGGAATATATTTATCCAGTTTATTTATTTTGAATTATATTATAAATACCTCAATATATTGCATGTTATGAATGCAAAATTAAAATGTTCTTGGAGCTTATTGAATGATAAGTACATGTTTGAGGTATCAACTATAATTAAAAAGTTTTTAGTAAATGATCAGGTATTTAATGAACTAGTTTTGTATAATATTTTTCATATTTATATCATGTTAATCACAACGACAATTATCGAGGTATATTTTGTGTGTATTACATTTTTCAATAGTAGCTATAAGTCTACAATTAATATAATATTAATAGCATGCGTGTATAAATTGTATTTGATTGGCATTAATGTTATGTTATATCATAAGAAATCTCACCATATTCAAATATTACAAAATTTTAAAACATGGCATGAATCAACTTCAGCTAAGTGTTTTTCAATTAATAACGATTTTAAAATTAATGTATAAATAATGGTATGTAACTTAATAAATGACAACTCAATAAAAATATAACACACATGTTTTAAACATATAAGTATGCATTAAATTTCATTTTCAATACATGTAATACCGTATAACATAATGTATAATGTACTATGTACTAATGTATTAAGTTCAGTATTGCTATGGAATTGAAATGAAACATTTTGAATTTTCTAAAGGTATTATTAAGTAATACCAGGGACAATAATAAAGTTTTTCATTAAATTTTAACTGTATCCAAGTATCAATATATATTATTTACAGGACAAGATATAATAAAAGAGAATTTAATATTTTCAATATCTGTTGAATAGAATAAAAAAATTCTATTTATATTTGAAAAAATATTTTTTCAAACAGATTTTAATCTAAAATAAAAAGTGAAAATCTAAGAATTGTAAATATTTTATTGAATAATATAGTATATTTTAAATTGAATTCAAAAAAGACTTTAATAATAAATAATCTACTTAAAAATAAATATTGATTTATGTAGCTAACATATATCATAGAAAGCAATATTATTATAAATGTACAGTAGCGTATATTTTTCTACTAGTATGTAACATAGATTTAGTGTGACATAAATGTATTGATTATAATATAAATACTAATTATAAAATATTATTACTATAAGAATGTCCAAGAAAAGTTCAATAATATACAAAATATTATATTTCTACGGATTACTATCAATTAATAATATAATTATCAATATTATCACCGCGTATATAATAACCACACAAATTGGCGTACTAATACAAACAATATTATCAATCAACAAAGTTTCAAATAGTTTTGAGTTTTGGTTTAAATTTTTTCATTTATTAATACTTTTGTCCTCGCTCATTTCATACGTATTCGTAAAAATTAATTCACAAAAAATTGTTGAAATCATCGATGAATTAAATGTATATTACGTTAAATATAAAATCAATAATAATAATAAATTAATAATATTTTATCTAATATGTCACATTGTAAATTTTGTGATTGCATTAATATTAATATACTACTATGGCGTATTGAACATATTGGATATTGGTCAATTAAAATATCAGCACCACGCACCTTTTACCATATTTTATGTAGTTGGCTGGATGAATTTTGGACAAATATTATACCTTGAAATAACACTGAAATACACCAAAACACTGGGCGTAATGTATGGAAGACTTGTGAAATTTAATGATCCGGCTAATGATTATTTATACGATATATCAAGCACAATTAAAAATATTTCAATTGATAATTATATTTTGAATAAACATGTTGGCAAATTAATTTATTTTATAATATTTAATATCTGTATTATTAACGTAACAACTTTAGTTTAGTAGTTTAGTTTAGTAACACATTTATAAATCAGAAGATAAGTTATACAATATTAAACTGTTTAGCTAACAATATCTAAAGATTTTGATCTCAATTATATTTTTAATGATAAATAAAAATTTTTACTTATTTTATAAAACAAGTACAGTGCGTATAAAAATCAAAGGTATATATTTTATTAATACCATATACAGTATCTTATAAAATATAAATCCATAACAATTTCCAAATGAAACAGATTAACTAGTAATAAAATATACATAACTACTGCACTACAGTAAGTCTATTCAATTTTCGATAAAATAAGTTTTATAAATACTGTAAATATTTTTTTAAAAAACATTATACAGTAAACACATTTTTATACATATTTCATAATGGTTGATACAATACATAGATTCATACAATTCATAGATTATTTATTATAAGGCTTTAAATAATTTTCAGATAATGTGATTAAGTTTATGTTAATAAAAGATAAAATTATATACAATTTTAGATTAAAGAATTTATTTTTAAATCTTTTGGCACACATTTTATTCAAAATTTTTATTATTTTAAATTAGTAAATTATAAATGAACAATTTAATAAATTGAATACGCAAATTTTCAAGTATTTAATTAAATAAATAATCATCAGTTTTAAATACATCAAATAGTATTCAAATAGTAATATTAATTACATACTCAAATGCATTACTGATTTACCCAACAATAATATGTCCTAAACCGATCCCGCACACATTTTCGCCTTTACCCAGACGTATGTAACCATTTTCACCCCAACCCTCACGGTAACTGTTGAATTAAAATTCATTAAACATTTTAATACTAAATTAATTTCAATACAAACTTATTTCTGGCGATCCAATAGTCGGTCCCATTGTCGACATTGCCCACCAGAAGTAAGCTGTGATCCAAAGGGCCGGTAGTATTGCACTCAAGACTGTCGAGTATACCGCTGGCGTATGTCTGGAATACATGGGAACTGGACTTTGTGTACACAACGAATGGTCGTTCTGAGAGCCAATTACTCATATCTTTATCTTAATCCGTGGGGTCCTTTGGGTCCGTCCAACCGGCACTTTCCCATCCATAGCCTGTTTTGTCAATTATTGTTTTATCGCAGGTATGGGTTCACTGGCCGGTGAACGGTTTATCCCTTTCCAAATCAAGTATCATGTCCGTATTATCAGATATTGACTGGATGACATCGTATGCACTGACAATTGCATCGCATATACACCAATCAGGATCTAATAGTATAATTAATTTATTTGAAGTTACAATATTTATTTCATATTTTATTAATGTGACCATGGTCAACTCACTGCAATCAAACACCTTCTGTGCGCTCATAGGCTCCAGTGGTTTACCGGTTTTTAGTGAACGAATGGCGCTAATCATGTCCAACACGTTCACTGTTCCCGCACTCAGACATACACTCTATTCATATAATAATGAAAGTAATGATTGAATTGTAATATTATAGATGAATTACATTATATTATACAAACCTGGTTATGCACCGGTAGTATTATATTTTGCTCTCTCCAATCTATAAAGACGAAGCAAGTGCAGCTTGATACAACCAAACTAATAAGCATTAATAGTTTACATATGGCCATGATTATATTTAGTTTAACAACTATTATAACTATATTTATTTGTGAAATTTTATAAATTTATTTTGAATGAATGCTATTCTTTTATATAAAAAGTATAATCTTTTTTAATTAAATGTTTACCAAGGTTAATTTGTACTTAATTGTGCAACGATCAATTTCCATTTAAAAACTATAGATTATTTCGATATCCTGTGTACACATGTACTACAAATAGATCAGATATGACTTCAAAATCTAACTTTCTCAATTAATTTGCAATCGCTGATAACAAATAACCATCAAGTGCTATTCTCAAAATACTATATATTAAAGTGATTAGGGGTATTTTCTTTGTTAATAATACTGAAGTAATGTTAGGTCTTATAAACAGAGTTTTATAATCCGTAACACTTTATGGGACATTCATTATAAAAACTGTTTTTTCCCACACCAGGAGATGTGTCACGTGTGTGCCCCTATCTATATAATGTGTTATTATGTGCTGGAAACAGATATTAGACATTTAGTAGGAATTTATTTTACTTAATAAATAAGATTACAAAAGATTTATTTTATTTTAATTAATTATTAGAAATGTTAGATTTATTAAAAAATATTTTTCTCTGCAAACACCATGTCCAGGTCCAAATTTTACATTCACGGAATGAATTGTAGTTATTATCATATTGATATATGATACATTTA